CCGCTCCCTCCCGCGGGTCGCCTTCTGTAGCTGAGACGAGACCGGTGCTGCTGCCTGGGCCTGTGCGTGGCTACTAGAGGCGGTAGCGGTCTCGCCGTGCGGGTCCGTAGGGTGCCGGCAGCGTAGTCTCGTAGCTCTGCCCGCGGTGAAGGGGCCCCCTCCGGCAGGGAAGGGGCCGGTCGCGTGGAAAAAACAGCCCTTCTCCCCCCTCGAGCGTGAGGAGCAGAGCTGCGAATGCGTGGTGGCGCGTCGGAAATCCTGCTTTCACATTTTGGCAGTGACAAAAGAGGCTGCTGCACAGCAAGATAGGACCCATAAAAGCGAGTCTTACTCGCCGCCGGTGTCTGCTGTGTGTAGCAACTGGGGTGTAAACCTCTTGAAAGAGTATTTATGTCAATGACTGCAGGCAGAGGAAACGCATTTTCTTACAAGGGGAAGCAAGAGAAGGGCAAGGTGTGTTATCTCAGATGAAGCTTTCATAACTGCCTTAGGTCCTATTAACTCAGGCTGAGATTGCTTTCTCTGCAGTCTGTTTGCAACTGTCTACATAGAAACTCTTCTAAAAATCTCAACTTTCTCTCTCTTCTTGCTATACTGTCTCAATAGCCTGACTATCTGGTAAAACTCTTCAAGTAGTAGTGCAATTAAAAGAGGGAAATCTTGCAGTCTAGAACGGACAAAGTTGAGCTGAAGTTTTAGTACGCGGCCTGCAACACAGAATAGGTGTTGTAACGGTAAGATGTATGAGTGATGCTGGAAGGCGAGAGAACTTGCTTCGTTTCCATGTTGTTGTGGTTTTGATCTACCATATTATTATGCATATAAAACAACTGGTGAGATTTTCACAATGCTGCTTGGTGTTATTACTGTTTGTTAGAAATACTTAACAGGGAATGAACCTGTGGCGTTCAGAATCAGTAGCCAGCTAAAAGCTGATCAAAAATGTCTTCTACTAGGAAGAATCCTTTCCTGTGGAGATGCCTGTATTTGCATGTATGTGATGTCATTAGCCACCTAAAATCAACATGGAAAACTGTTTTAAAATAATTTAAAAAAATGTGCAGCAACCATCAAGCTTTCTCAATAACCCATGTTTTTATATTATGTTAGTCAAAACCTAACACAGTCATACTCAAACTTCATATAAAACCTTATTTGGAAGTTTTCCTGTTTACAGTTTTTAGAGGAATGCACTCAGTAGAAGATTAAGATCTTATTTACAAATGAATAGACGATAAAGCGTAACTAGCAGTTTGCTTTTGCAGCATAAGCAAGAATTTTAAGCTCATTTCAAAATGCAGCTCTAGCTGTGTGTTCACTACCTGATATTTTTCTGATCTTGTGGCTCTTCCTTATGTTTTACTTCTGCAGGCAGTCTCATGAGAATACTTGTGTTCAGTTCAGCACTTCTGTGTTTTCTGTATGGCCTTTATGTTTTTTTCTTTGCTTTCTTCAACACTTTGTGTATTTGTGGAGTCTAAGATAAAGGGAATGATCAAGCCCCACTTCTTTTCTTATTAAGATTTTTTTCCCCTCTCTGTCTTTTTTCCTTTTCTGTTCTTTTGCAGAATTGTTAGTACCTGTGACATGGTACGCCGAACTCAAATGTGAAAGCACAAGGCAAAATTTCATATGGCAATCACTTCTGTGCTGAAGCATTAAATTGCTCTGAAGCTGCTACCGCTGGTACTGGGTCTGCACGTGATCAGTATTCATGCAGTGAATTAGTAATCTAATCACTAATTCATGAGTGAATTAGTAATCGAGAAGCATGGTGGGAGTACTTACTAGCAGCAGAAAAGCAGGAATCTGTGGCAGAACTGCCCTTTGTTGAAAACTGTGGAGAGTTCTCTAGGTAAGTAATGGTGTAAAACTAGTGATGGTTTAGCCATTCTTGAATTTTACTGGGTTTGGTACACGTGTAGTTTTAAGAGGTATTAATCAGCCGCACTTCAATAACTTTTTTCTTTTTCTTCTTCATCCTTGTAGCACTTTTATTCAGTGATTAAATTCAAGACATGGGGCCAATGAAATATAAGTCAAGCATGTCCTCGGTGTCCTGTGGTCTGCAATATCACCATTCTTTGATAAAGTGCAGTCCAAAAATGAATTTACACGTAGTGCGGACTTACTGCTCATCAGCACCTAAGAGGCCTGAAGCCAAGTCTGCGATAGAAATGGCCATGGGTCTTCTTAATCGGCTGACAGAAGCTGGGACTGTTATGGGAAAAAACTCTCTTCAAAAAATGTCTGCAACGTGCAAGAGTTGGTGGGACAGATACGAAGAGTTTGTTGGAATTAATGAAGTTCGAGAGGCTCAGGGAAAAGTGACAGAGGTAAACATGGAGACAATGTGGAAACTTAAAAATTGTGGGTTAAGCTATATGAAGTATAAACACTGGCTGTGAGGCAAGAAGATCCTCCAAAGAGAATCATGGGGGTTTTTTCTGCTTTGACTGTCTGTGCAGTTACTATGAATGTGCTCTTGTTTGTGCATGTTAGTAAATATAGCTTATCCCTTAGATTGAAATGGAGTGTGGTTTGTTTTGTTGGTTTGGGTTTTTTTTTTCCCCCCAAAAAAAAGTCATATAATTAATGATTTAGATCTGTCTGGTAATAAGTCTCTAAAAGAAATACTTTTTCTTCTCAGGCTGAAAATGTCTTTATGATAGCTCGAGGGATAGTACGGCAGGCTCGTGAAAACGTAGAAGCCCAACAGATTAAACTGAAGGAAATTCGGGACCGCTTAGACAGGGTCTCTCGGGATGACATCCAGTATTTAGAACTGGCTACTCTGGAACACAGGTTGCTGCAGGTAATTTGTTGGTACTTGGGCACTGGCAAATATGATGAAAATTTGTGTGCTTTGCTTCTGTCACTAGCGACTGTTTTTGTAGGTGCAGTTCAGTTCTGACGTACGATGATCTGAGTTAATTTCTTATGATACTTGTTTTAGTAAATTATTACTGATGGTTTGATCTGCTACGCAAATTGTATATGTTAATGCTAAAATAGGGTAGTAAATTTGGAGAAGAAAGCTGAAGACAGTCAGCCTAGAAAATTAGTTGTTGTAGTGGTGACCTGTACATGAGTCGTCAACAAAAAGCTGGAATTCAGTGAATTAACCTTCCATGTGATGCGAGAAGCTCCTTTCTGGTTGTTAATCCATGAAAACTCTCTCAGCTGCCTTCTATGTGGCTCCAACAGCCAGGCAATTCAGTAAAGCTTTTGTCAGAGAGCAGCAAGAGCGAGGCTGCTCCGTGAGGGAAGGCAAGCAAGAAGATGAGGTTGACCTTAGCACAGGCTGGGGCCGTATCCTCACTGACAGAACATAGTCCTACAGCACCTCAGCTGGATGAGCCAAGTAGGGCTGAGGACAGGAACATGTTTATTAACAGTCCGTCAATCAGAGATAAAGACAAGGTAGCAGCCAAAGCCAATCCAGGAAATCCAGGTGAAACTGCAGGAACAGCGGGGAACAGGCCTGGGAGCAGGTACACCTATGGCAAAGCTCAGGCAAGGAGTGGGTGCCAGCGCCTGAGCTTAAATGGGGCTCCTGGATCAGTGGGTGGAACATCAGGAAAGAACTAGAGAGCTGTAGTTGTCTAAATAGGGATTAGGTCTGTGTGGATGAGACTTAAAGAAGAACAGAGCTCTGCATGACTATGAAGAAAGGTAGAACTCAAGTCACCACTGTCCGTAGGGTGGTGGTGCCATCTTACAAAAGAAATACAAGCTTGGAAGAATGAGAACAATTCTGGGAGATGCAGGGAGGAAGGGAAGACATTTCTCTGAGCAGGGTAAGAAAGAGAATGCAGAGGAAGAAGAAGCATGTATGTTCATGAGATGAACCTATCCAAGACATCCTTTCCATCCTATTTTTAGTTCCCACTTGAAGGATTTAGAACTGAAAGGGAGAAGTGTGGTAAGGGTAGTGTTTGGAGACGTAAGCAGGGCTGAAAAGGTGTACATTGTGGGGAGAGAAAGACCTTGCCCACTCATACCCCTTTTCTGTCATCAGCATGTGACAGATTCTTGGTCTGTAATTCTTCTTCAGCTGTAATTCCTGATGACCTTTTCCATTTCTCAGTTTTGACTTAAAATGATGTCTCATTGACTTAAGTAGGATTAATAAAGAAAATCCCACACTAAAAGGAAAATTTCTGGAACAGAACTAATGGATGTTCTTAATTTCCATTCCTTCATCTGCACTGGGGTTTTGGGTTTTTTTCTAGTATGGACTTCATAGCTTCATATTATACCTTCTCCTTCAAATCACTATATTTCTTGCAGGAGGAGAAGAGGTACCGAGCTGCGTATTTAAATGCAGAAGAATCCGAGAGAGAAAAATTCTCTCTCTTCTCTGCAGCTGTAAGGGAAAGCCATGAGAAAGAGCGAACAAGAGCTGAAAAAACGAAGAACTGGTCTATTATTGGTTCTGTACTGGGAGCCATTATAGGTGTTCTTGGTTCCACCTACGTTAATCGAGTAAGGCTGCAAGAATTGAAAGTCTTGGTGCTTGAAGCACAGAAGGGCCCAATAAATCTGCAAGAAGCCATCAAAGAACAGGCCTCCAGCCATTACTTACAGCAGAAGGATCTCAGTGACGTCATAGCAGACCTGAAAAATGTGCTGCAAACAAGGACATCACAGGAAATAAAAGAAGGCACTTTGTTAACTAGAGAAGACAGGAATGACTCCATAAAAATAGATTCTCTTTTAATTCCTTTAAACGAACAGCTAAACTACACTAAACAAGTCAGTTCATGTCTAGGGAGTTTACAACAGCAGTTTAACAGTTTGCAGGATAGTATAGCGCAAATGATTTCTGAGGTGCAGAGTGTTAAACTTGCGGTCCATTCTAGACCTACAGAAAGAGTGATGCCAAGGTCTTCGGTGGAGGGTAAGGGCCAGGCTTCTGCCATGAGAGATGTGATTTTAGAATTGTGTGATACCGAGCGGAGACTGGAAACGCAAATCAAGAGAAATTCCATTTACAGCACTGCGGTGACGTGTGCTGTGTTTGCTATTACTCTGCCAGTACTCTATATTATACTTAAAGGGAACTGATCTCTAATTAATTGCCACAATTTACTAGGTTAATAAAAGTAAACTTGTACTTCGAGTACAAGTCCAAATAAAGTTCCATCACCATTTTGCGTTATGCTTTCTCCTGTATATTTGGGAAACTTGTAAAGACTTAGGCCATCTGCTGCTGCAGGCTCCGTGTTAACAGTCCTTGTCATGCATTGTGGTTTTTAACTCCTCAAGCAAAGGAAATTCCACAGTTTCATCTGTTGATTTCATTCACTGCTTCACTCTTTACTGTCTAGTCTTGTATATCATGCCAGTCAGTAACTTTCACTCTGGAGCTGTATTTGTGATTTTCTGTTCAAATTATTCTTTTAATCTATCATTAAGTGCTTCATGTGTAATCCTTTATAATTTTTCTCCTGATTTCTTCATAGTTTTGCAATTTGTCCATACACAAAACGTGAGGAGTCATTTTAGCAAATAGGTAGAAATATTTGTCCTGAAGTCTTTGTTTTGGGGTTTTTTGGGTTTTTTTTTTGTTTGCTTTTTTTTTTTTTTTTTAATTCTGGATGCAGTGACTTGCGATATGACAAACAGCAGGGGCCATGTAAATAAAGAGGATTGGGGTTACCATGATACAATGTGGCTGTACAGCCAGATGATGCATTTAAAATACATTTAAGTTAGGTGTGGTAACTTTTTCTTAGGACAGGTTATTGTGAAGTATCCAAAAGCATTTCTGGAGCTTTAGCTGTTTGTTACTGGTAACTCCATGTCCTTAAAGGCTTACAGGCAGGGAAGAAGGGTTCAGATACAGAGATGTATTAAGTATGGTGATGTTTATTCTGCAGATGCAAGCCAATTATTCTTTCTCTACAGACTCCTTAACCCATCATTCCCTAGGTATTTTGTGGTTTTAGTAATCATCTATGGAGCAATCACTTTCTTATCCTTACTGGTATCTCATTGGAACTTTCTCCGTTTTGTATTCTTTTTTCAATTTCATCGTGTCTGGAAATTGAAATGCTACTCTACAGCAGGTGCTTTTAAGCCAGTACGTTTATGCAAACTACTCCAAAATAATATTTGGAAAAAAGTGAAAGGTCCAGCTGTCTGTTTTTCCTGGAAGGATGAAGAACGGCTGATTGAGGAAAAATGCTTGTCTAAACAGCCAAACAGCGTATCTGTGTGTGGCCTAACACAAAGTTGTTGGTATCGCTGTGATAAATAGTTTTCTCCCTGTGATGGTAGCAAATAAGCAAATCGGATGTGGAACTCCTGCTCGATGAGCACTTCTGTGGAACCTTTGCAGACGAAGGAGCGACAAGCTCACTTCATGGTGTAATGCCTTTGTGTGAGCATTTCAGACTGACTAAGTTGTGTTTCGTATACAGTCTGCTATAGGGCTTTTTTTTTCTATCAGCTCTTTATAGTTTCTTCTGCCCAGTAACCATATTAAGAGTTTGATGTTTTGATTATAAGCTCCTAAGACTTTAAGATCTTTGGGACAGGAACATTTGCTCTACAAAGCACCAACTTCATTTGGTATCATTAGGTGCTATTATAACATGACTGAATAAACAAACAATATTAGGAAAGAACTGTGATGATTCGCTACTTGTAAGGGAGATGAAGTATGCAAAAGGCGGTTTTGGGAAGGACCACTGCTGATTTATATATTGATTGTTTGGAGTGTAAAGTGAATAACAAGCATTTGTCAGGGAAGCTGTTTGATCTGATGGCTGCGTCAAGAAGTATACATACAGATCGATACAATTTTTCAAATCTGTAATATTTCATTTTCTCATTTCACAAATATTTTTACAGTTTATACTTCATGCAGGAGCTTGAAAATCAGAGACAAGGTGTAATTAAAGGGGAAGGCGTAGTACAATGAATGGTTCTATTTGTAACTTGCCGACACTAGTCACTGAGAATTTTGTTATGGTTTTGTTTGGTTTTCTTTTTCCTCCAGTTTAACTACATAAAGGTAGATCCCCTTATTATGTAAATGGCTAAATTTTAGATACTCAGCATCACTGATAAATACATGAGCATGGTTTTAAAATGCTGCATGTTAGGCAGCTAAACTTAAAAGTCGAGGCAACACTCACTGAATTGTACTTGGTGGCATCAAAAATGAGTAGAGGTCCAAGGCTAGACTTGTATACAATAAATAAGAGAATACAAAAACGGGGGTTGTTTATTGTTCTAAAGAGATCTGCTTTCTACCCATTTAAAGAAGGTATGATAGTAGGTAGCTTTAAGATTACCTAGAGTTACGGGAAGAAAAAGTCAGTCAGCAAGTAAGTCTGTGATAAATGAGAGTTTGAAATACGCAGCCTGAAATTTGAGAAGAGCTGGATGGTGTGATACGTATCAAGATGAAAATAACTGGATCTTACCCTTTGTAGGGAGTTTTGAAGATTCAGGAATAGATTCTGTATGCAGCGTTGTACAGCTGGCAAAACTCACTGTTACAAGTGATTACTGTGGTTCTCTTATTTCTGCTCTTCCTTGCTAAATCCTCGTATGTGAAGTGACAGCAGAATAATTTCAATTAGGGCAAAAACCTTGTAAATAACTGCGTCTATATAATAATTAGGAGGGCAGATTTGTATATTCCCTCAATCCTGGATTAATCATCACTCCATTATGGCAATGTTCTAAATGTGTAATTTGGTGCTGCGCCGTATGTGTACCCCAAAGCCAGAAGGTGTGGCTGCAAGAGCAACAGCTGTACCTTCAGCTAGCTGAAGGCAATATCCAGGAAGACGCCATAACATAGACTATACGCATAATCTGTTCAGTACTTTTTGCTAAATCTTTGTCATGGTAATGCAGGCAACAAATACACAAGTTTGAACAAAACCAGCACAGCTGTACAGAGGTGTTTATCTGAGCGCTCACGTTAGTTCAATACATTTGCAGTACCGACAGTGATTTACACAATGCACGATGACATCTCACTGCATATTTCCTGATGATTCAGCCACAGCTAAATGAATAGTTCGTTGCCTGTGCGCTTCTGGGCTATTTTAGTTAAAAAAGAAAAAAAGAAAAGAAGAAAAGTGTTCTGTTGCATACCTATGGATTATTAACAAAGTTTATAATAGACAGTTGAGTTTCACTTTTGGAATGAGGTCTCTCAGCTGAAGCTTTTCTCAACAAGAAAATTCTGCTTGCTAAGGCCTTTCGAGACTTAAATTCCTGCTCTTTCTGTGAGTAAAGTCCTCTCTGGGCAGGATGGCTCAGCTGGCCCTGTGTCCCAAACGCTCATCAGCCAGGAGGGATAGTGGCTGCAATAGTTTGTACAGGTCTCATGAGGCTGGGGACTGACCTAGGCATGGTGTATAGGTCAGAGAAAGCCAGTGCTGATTCAAGTTAATTCCACTGTCAATCAAGGCACAGAAGATAAGTTAAAGAGGGAACCAAGTAAGAGCAACAGGAAGCCCTTTGATAGATAATAACTATAGAAAAATGGGTGGCAGTGGCCTATGCTTGGCCCATGCTAAGCTATTTTGAGTTCTTACTGCTCCGTGAGAAACCACTAGTAACTCAAAAGCAAACAGCCTAGTGGCTATGGAAATAACTTTTAACGAGGTCACTGCAGACTTGTAACAGTAGGTGCATTCTGAAGAGAGAAGTTGCCATTCCTTCCACTCATGAAAGGAATAGCAAATGTTGCTTATGAATACAGGACAAAAGCAATTACGTGTGGTATCATGGTCAGGATATATATATTTATTTATTAACACTTGAGTTTTTAAGAACCTGATCGGAAGTTGCAGGTGCTCCTGTTGATTTCATTGTAACTCTCTGTTTGGAAAAGACAGTTTCTTTCACTTGAATACCTTCTAAAAACAAGTACTTCCATCTCATGGAGCTGAGGAGGAGTAGAGATGTCCCATTTACTTCAGAAACAGGATTGAGATTTGCAGTAGGAGGGAGGTTCGTGAGCTAGGAAAAGGGAGTCAATGCTGGGTTTGTCCATAATATATTTAGAACTGTATTTTATTGCCAGATTTTTGCTAGCAAGTTATATTCGTAACCTTCCTCATAAAACAGAGAGGTGCAATTTCTGGTGTTTGGCAGTTGGTGGATCATCTAAGAAGGTGTGGGCTTAAATACAGAAAAAAACAGCTGGGCCACAGTTTTTACTTTTAAGGAGAATTAAGCCTTCAGGTAATTATGGTTGTGGCAAGGTTTTGGAGTTTTCATCATGGGAAGTTTTTAAGGACAGTTTGGACAAATATCACTATGTTTGATACAGATATAGACAGATCCTGTCCTGGCACAGGATGGATTCAGTCACGAGTTTTCAAACTTCTGTTCTAAGAACTGCTGCTTTTTTTTTTTTTTTTTTTTAAATAAAGTAGGAGAGTCTATGGACAGTTTGATATCCTAGTGCAGGTTATCCTATAGTGCAAGTTACAGCAGAATGAGAAAATGTTGTGCTGAGAAAATAATAGCTCAGTTTACTATGGGCTGTGTTGTGTTAGGCACCAGGAGAGAGGGGGAGTGCATGTATGCACAGCTGCAATAAAGTATGACCCTAAAAGTATCGCCTTAGTAACGATTTTTCAGAATCAAGTTTATAAGGTGATTTCTCGATCAATTTTTAAATACTATGCAAGGAGTTTTTTTGAAGGCTGTTTTTAATGGAACTTTGCACACTTCTATTGTAAGCCTTTAAATGGCTGCAGCCTACACTAGCCTTTTTGTGAGTTTGCCTGAAGCAAACTGGCCCATTAAAGGTTATTCTGTGTAAATACTGGCATATCATAAGCTCTCAGGAATTTCCCTGTGCTTCAAGACTTGTTTAAAAAAAAAAAAAAAGAAAAACCAAAACACATTATCTGTGTTGATTCAGTGGGCTGATCACCCAACCCTCTGTATTAGTTCGGTGCATGTAATCTGCTTCGTCAAATACATCTAATTCTTGCTCTTCGTGGAGGTGATTGTGACAATCTGTGTGGCTGGAGCCCTCACCTGTGATGTTGGAAAACTTGTTCATAGTGACATTGGACATGTCGTGCACAAATGCTTAGGCCACAGAGCTCCACGACAAAGGGATCGTCACAAGCATCCCAAGCTTGTTTTGCTGCATTCTGCAGAGAGAAAA